TATGTGTGTGTGTGTGTGTGTGTGTGTGTGTGTGTGTGTAATATAGTGATATCTCAAACTAGAGGGGAAAAGACAGAATATTAAATAGTTGTTGGCATACTCAGTTAGTAGGACTCAAACCAAGATAACTTCCAAATGGATCAAACTTTAAGTATAAAACATGATACAATAAAAAGCCCAAAAGAAAATATGGAAAGATTCCATTATAAGTCAGGATGGGAAAAAAAAGCTTTCTAGATATAACTTCAAATTCAAAATTTTTATAAATCGGTATACTTGAGTACATAAAACTCAGCTCAAACTTGAGCATGAGGACAGACCATTCAACAAAGAAAAATGTAAATGTTAAATTGAATTTCAATCCTTGCAGCAATATCAAGAAAAGAAGTTTATTTCCCTAAAATATGAAAAGCTTTTAAATTTTTATAAAACTTAACATGAAAACAAGAAAAGAATATAAAAATAAATTCAAGAATTTTTAAATATGTAAAACTATTATCCGTGGTGGAATGTGAGCTGGAAACTCTTCTGATAGCTTACAATTGGTGACGGAGGGAAAGATATTTTCTTCAGTGGTTTAGCCCCTGGTAAGGTGTCCATGCTCCTGTAAACAAACCTTCACCTGCACTCCTGAAAAAAAGGTTAGTGAGACATCTTGGGTCTGTCTCTGTCTCTGTCTCTGTCTGTCTATCTGTCTCTCTCTGAAAATAGAATAGAAGTGGGGTTAGGTGGGAGGTGGGAAGAAGAAGGGAATTACAAGCATGAGAAGGGATCAGGAGAAGGTAACAAAGAGTGAAAATGGCAGTAATACACATATGAAAATGTCATAATGAAACACACTGCTATACAAAATATATTCTATAAAAGCATTAAAAGTGATATAATGATACTATTTCACCTATCAGATTGTCCACAACCTCAGTATGATATCATCTGACGGTGACTGTTTCTCCTGAATAGCCACTTTCATACATCTCTGGTGGGAATATCAATTGCTACAGTCCCCTAGGAGGGCCATTTGGTAACGTGTATTAAAATTACAAACGCTCATGTCCTTTGGTCCAGCTATTCAGTTTCTAGAAATGCATCCTAGAGGGGCATTAGGACATGTGCAAAATGGTATACGTGAATATCTATTACAGCACTGTGAGCAGCCCAGCTCTTCCATGGGTAGGAGGCTGGGTTTTCATTTAGCTTGCTTTTGTAGCCTCACACTGGAAAGTTACAACTGAGCCCTGTTTCTGAGCCCCTAGCAGAGCTGACATGTGACTCGATTCCTCCTTAGGTGGACCTTCCAAAGTTGGAAGCCCCACCCCCACCCCACCCCAGTGGGAGATGACCTCAGGCAGCTTCAGGACGTCAGCATCACCACTGGGATGCACATAAGAGGGAGCAATAAAAGAGGCTTATCCCTGGCAATCATTAAAGCAGAACTTCTCTTTGCTGGTAACACCGCGAGGAGTGGCGAAGGTGCTGTGTGAACCGTCTCTAGATACAGGATGCACCACTAATAGCTGCTGTTTTCCTCTCACTTACTCATATTTTAATTAGGGCATGATATGGATATTGCTGATTAAATTTACTCATCTATTTTGACAAAATGGTCCCCTCTGCTAAACTGTACAATCAAGATATTTTTGCCCAGATATTAATACTTATAGGCAGTCTCTGAGACCATAAACAGGGCAATAAAAGTTTTTCTACTAATGGTTATCTAACTTTGGGCAAAACATTTTGAAGGTACAGTATCCTGAATAAGGTTGTACAATTGAAGCTATAAAATGGTAGAAAATGCTAAAGTTAGATGTTCTCCATTTCAGCATTTACCTCAACTTCTTTTGAAAATACACAGTTTTAGTGAGTTTGTTGTGGTTGGGAGTCTTTTTAGATTTTGTTAAACCCTAAATCTTCAAAGGCCATTCAGAGACAAAGAGGGGAATCTGATGGGAGAGTAGATAGCAAGAGTCCTGCAGAATGGTCCTGGTTTCAATAGAATCTACTTTGTGTGAGAAGGCTCATTTTAAGTGGGTCAATCTGTGTCAGTCATACCACTTGAAACACTGAAGATACACTTTGGTGTATCCTGTGTTTGCAGACCTTCTGGGAACACACTATATTTACACTCTATTAAACTAGGTCAGCTCCTTTGTTGGGACAATCCCAGTGGGAGCTATACATTTCACCTAAAGATAGCAGGAAGAATTTGGGTATTTTAGTGACTTGTCTTTCCCAACTCATTCTGATAAAAATCCAATCTAGTTATGTCTTATGCCAAGTGAATAAACATTGACTTATTCATTTAAAAATATTTATTTAGTGTCTATTGTGCTAGGTGCTGGGGGAAATATGAATTCCTACTGTGAGGGAGGTACTAAGGGAGAGAGGCATGGCATTCATGAGCATGAGCGAACAGACGAGTGAGGTGCAGAGCTTCGAGGTACAGGCACTTTAGTGGGAAGAAAGCACGCTCCAGGAAGGTAGAATCTGAGACTCACACTGCAGTGAACTCAGAGCACTAGATAAAACTTGTTACTTTTCCATGGGGGCAGAGAATGCTCTTTCCAGAAAAGGCAAGAGCTGACTCAGATGTAGTTTTTCTTATTTAAGCAAGTACATTAAACTGGGTGCATTGACGTGTAGGTGTAATCCCAGCTGCTCAGGAGGCTGAGACAGAACCATCTCTTGGGCCCAGGAGATTAAGGCCAGCCTGGTCAACAGAGCAAGGCCTCAACTCTTCAAATAAAAGCAAAAATAAATACATGAACAAAGTAACTGTGACTTCTGCTATTTCTCACTGCATTTAAGTTTAAAATAGATTTTATAATATCTAACTAAAAATGTTAATTATGAGAACATCGAAAATACCAAGATGAATCAACATTTAAATGTAATACATTGCAGATAAAAGAAATTAGAGCTTACCATTTGGGGAGGCACCTAGTTTCATTCACTCAGTAAATATGATATTAAATTCTGGATTTGTGATCTAATTAGGACCTAATAATTTAATATGTGTTAAAAGAAGAGGAAATCTCCAAAAATCAAGGTAGTTGAAGAATACCAACTAACTGAGTCACTCACCTTTGGAAAGGGGAGGCTCAGAATTAATGATAGGTACCTTCAAATAATTAGGGTGAATCAGTGGGTTAGTCAGCTTCTCAGCACTGTGATAAGAATCCTGAAAAAAAAAAAAACAGCTTAAAGGAAGAATTGAAGTTCATGATTTTAGAGATTTAACTCATTAGGCTGTATTGCTTCTGGGTCTATAGTGAAGTAGTGTGTTATGCAGAGGAAAGCTGATCACCTCATAGTAGCCAGGAAGGAAGGATGGGACTGGGGACAAAATTTAGCCATCAAGGCATACTCTCTGGGACCTTCTATCTCTAACTAGGCCCCATATCTTGCTGTTGCCAACACCTCCCAGCAGTCCATTTTGGTATAAATCCACCAGTGGATTAATCCATTGATAAGGTTAAAGCTCTCATGACCTATGAATAATGCTTCACAGTCCAAGCTCAAATGAGGGACATTCTAGACAGCAATGTTAACAATCTCTGCTATTTATTGTTATTCTACAGACCAAAGGCAGGGAAGTCAGTTGTAGAGTTTTGAAGGAAGCTCTTTTCAGATTATTGTATTGAATGACTTGATGATAACGATAGCTATTCAAGAACAGTTTACAGTGTTTTGTGTATTTGTGAGCGACCTATACAGCTGTTGACTAGCATTTGATTAGTGTACTGCCTCAAAATTTAAGGTGCATTGAATCAACAGAGGTCTTGTAAATTACTATTGGTTGCTAATCCAGCTTAAGCATTGTGGTGGCTAGCAGTATCATCTTGACAGGATTTAGACTCATCTATGAAACAAGCCTCCAGGCATACATGCAAGGGATTATCTAGGTTAGGTTGTTAGGTTATCCACCATTCAAGACCATGAATGATTTTCTCTTTTATATATTTTATTTATTATTGTTACTTTATGTGTATTTTGCCTGTATGTATGTAAATGCACCATGTGAATGCAATGCCCACAGAGGCCACAAGAGGGTGTCAGATCCTCTCAAACTGGAGTTACTGTAGGTTGTTAGCTGCCATATGGTTGCTGGAAATCAAACCCCGGTCTCAAAATCTCTCCAGACCCTGACTGTGAAAGGTTTTCTTTGTTAGGTTAGCTGAGATGGGAAGACACATTCTAAATGTGGGTAGTACCATTCCCTGGGCTGGGATCCTGGGCTGCACTCCTGGACTATATAAATGCAGAAAGTGAGCTGAACACTAGAGCTCATCTTTCCCTGCTTCTTAATTGTGAACGCGACATGGTTAGTTCCTTCAAGCTCCTCCGCTGTGACTTCTCTGCCATTGTGAACTGTACCCTCGACTGTGAGCCACAATAAACTTTTTCTCCCTTAAGTTTCTTTTATTGTCACAGTATTTTTTCCCACAGCAATAGAAAAAGTAGGTAATACAAGTATTAAGGACATAAAGAGTATTTTTGTTATACAGAAGGTTTCAGATACAAAAGTCTTTAATTCCCTTGCACCTTGGAAAGTCCATTACTCTTATTCATTTGAGTCCTGGTAGAGTCCTGGTATTCGTTAGATGCTGTGAGGATAATTGAAAGTCACAGTAAATTTTGGAAGCAGAAGAATGGGCAGCACATTTGGAGACTATTACCTTGACTAAAGATATGTTTCTGATGGAGGAAAAAGCTATGAAAATAGACTTAGAGGCAGGTAGAAAATCAAGTTAAGAACTTCAGACAACATCCTGTGGTAATAGTATAACACATCAGATTTGCTTTTGTCTGAAATAATATGCCCCTAAGATAATGGCTTAACCACACAGATATTCATTTTTCTATGTAAATATAAACGTACAGAATTGGACAGCACAGTGTTACTGTGACAGCTCAGTGAAATCATAGGGACTTAGCCTCCCATTTTCCAGGTTAGTCATCTTCAGAGCTCACAATCTGATCACTTTCCAGACCTATGTAGGAGGAAGAGAGGGTAGCAATTGCTCTTTTCTTTTTAAACAAGCCATTCATAAGACAACAACTGATTGCTTACACCTCATTGGTCAGAGTTTGATTACATGACTAAATATAACTGGAAAGTAATCTGTGAGAAATGATGGGTTTTTAGATAGGCAGATATTTGTCCATATTTATTTTTATAGTCAATGATTAGTGAATTAATGAACTCTGGGAAAAATCCAACAGTCCTTGCCATTAATGGTGGGTCAAGTAGTTCCGAGTTGGAAGGAGACATGCACACAGCAGTTTTTTGGAAAGATACCTGTGGAAGGAATACAAAGAGTAAAAGTGAGTGCTGGGAGAATAGTAAAGATAAATAGTTCCTCAACATAAGGGAAATGTGGGGATGTTGGATTAAGCAATAATAGTAACAGATTCAGTGAAAAGAGAAGTTATAGGATCCAGAACCTGGGTAGACAGAAGGGGAGGATCCTAGCATGCCCAGGAGGTGTTCAGCCTTATTAGGAAGATGCCTTTTGTTTCAGATATATAGGGTTGTGCTGGTACTACATCCAAAGATATGGAAATACTTAAACATTCAATGGTTAAGACTGTAGGGCTTTGGGAGTGGTTGTTCATCATCTCTGTGCTTACTCTTGGAGGTCTCCTCACATCTCAGGTTTCCAAAACCAAACTCTCATCTACCTCCACCCTAGTCTGTTTGCTGAGAGTGCAGAGAATGTTGGTCCTCTTTAATATGCATCTGGACAAAATGCCAAAGCACAGGCAAATTTTCTGCTGAAAATGAGTTAGGATAATATCCTGAAATTAGTTATAAATTATTTTATAGTCTCTGCTCTTTGTGAATTTCCCTATGAATTTTGAATTATTCCCTATCGTGTTTGGATGCCTTCCAGTTCAATTCAGCCATGTGCTTAAAGGAGATGATAACACAGAACATTGAGGTGTTCCCATTCACCTAATTCCACAGAACTCTTCCCATAGATAGACTCAATTTTCCAAATATCAATCTTACATGCATTTATTAATTGACTAGTAGACCAATTTTCTTGCCTTTTCTCTGGGCTGAGTCTGATTTTCCCTTGACAATAAGTTGCCCCATTCTGAAGTCACCTTCAAGTGGGTAACGAAAAACCCCTGGAATGCAGTTTTAACCTTAGCCTGAACTGCATTTTCTTTAACTGGATGGCATTTTTCCCTCTCTTACTTTGTTTCTTTAGGCTCCAACCAGAGAAGGAAGCCAATTGAGCTCCTGGGATATATTAATTACAGCATGTTTTGGCTGACCATGTCTTGGTTTTCTATTATGTTTGTGTCATCTTTTTAATGTTCTATACCACAAAACAGCCATGGATTGGCTCTCTGGGAGTTTCCTCTTTGCATGCAGCAGGGAGAGGACAACCTATCCCAAATGTATGGGGGAAATTCTGTGATGTCACAAGATGAGGTGAAAGTTCCCTTTTCAAATTCATAGTGCTGCCAGGAGGCTAGGTCACCCCTCAGGCACCTGGGAAAATGCTAGAGAATTCTATATAAGGAACATTGGCCTGTGAAGGAAGGATTGAAATCTGATGTGAAAAAAGATATCCCAGAAAGTTTTTAAATGAAAACTATCATGAAGTGTAATACAAATATGAGTTTTCTTCATAATGTTGTGTACAGATACACAGAGCTTTGTGCTTGGCAAACTGATCCACTGAATACTCTGACTCCTTTATCATAAACATGGTGAATGCTGTGTTCATTGTATAGGGAACATGACACTGGCAGAGGAGAGAGAGGAGAGAGGAGAGAGAGAGAGAGAGAGAGAGAGAGAGAGAGAGAGAGCTTAAGGAGTTGGTCAATGTCACACAGCTGATTCCATAGCAAAACTAAGTCTTTCTCCCATTTTATTTTATTTTCCCTTTAGTAAAACCATCAACCCATGTTTACATCAAGTGGTATAGCACAGAATCCATGACCAGCAAATGTGTTGGACCAATGAATTAAATTGCATTTCTGAACCCATTTTTCCCCTTTGTTACCCATACAAGAAGCATTCCTTCCTTCCAACATACTTGTAGACTATGCTAAGACTGTGCCAGATTTCACTCCCCAAATACAAAAGGCATTTATATACAACATTGTTCATGATTCTTCTCTCCCTAAATTGTTCCTCCTTGTACTGGATAGCTTTAGTTGTCAACTTTACACACCTGGGAAGAGGAAACTTCAATTGGGGAACTTCCTCTATGGGACTGCCTATGGCCATGGCTGTAAAGTGTTTTCTTGATTGAGTGATGTGGGAGGATCCAGCCCACAGTGGGTGATGCCAGGCTTGGCCAGGTGCTTGTGTAAGAACCAACCAGAGGAGAAAGCCAGTAGCCAGTGCTCCTCCATGATCTCTGCTTCAGCTTCTGCCTCTAGGTTGCCTGCTTGAGCTTCTGTCCTGGCTTCCCTCCGTGAAGGACTGTACTGTAAGCTGAAATAAATGCTTTTCTTCTGTGGTGGTTTGAAGTATTTGAACACTTTGTCCCCAGTTGGTAGTGCTGATTGTTGAGGTTTAGAAGGTGTGGCCTTACTGAAGGTGACATTATCATTGGGGGTGGGCTTTCAGAGCATATAACTTGCCCACTTCAGTCTGTTTCTCTATATTTTCTGTGCTTGTTTTAAGATGTGAGCCTTCAGATTTCTATTCTGACCACCTCCTACCACCATGCCTCGTCTCTATGATGAACCCTTTGGAACTATAAACCCAATAAACTTTTCCTTCTATAAGTTGCCTTGGTCATGACACTCTATCTCAGCAACAGAAAGTGATTAATACACCTCTCTCCCCAAATTGGTTTTAGTCAGAGTGTTTCATCACAGCAACAGAAAATAATTAGAACAGAAATTTGTACCAGGAGTGGTATACTGCTGTGAAGGATCTGTTAGTGTTGATTTGGGGAGGATTGTGGAAGTGTTTGGAACTTTGGTCTGGAAAAGCCATTGAGTGCATAGAGCTTAGTGAGCTGTTCTGTGGGAGTTTGAAGAAATACAGATGATGGAGGACTGGCTTGTGGAATTTCAGAGGGAAGTCTGGGAGTTCCTCAAAGACTATCTGGGCCATTTTTGTGATATTTTGAATTAAGAATTTATGGAATTAAAACATTTTGTGCTTTACTGGGACAATGGATACTGGTCAGTTGGGGCTAAAAAAATCAGTTTTGATTAACAAGAGAATGGCATCATTAAGGTGAAATCCTCTGGAAGTATTTCATCAGTGTCAACACAAACAGAAGCTGTGGTCCAGAGGGGGCCAAGGCTGCACATCAAACTGGCAATAGAACTTGGCAATGTGTAAGATTCTCGTAGGTGGTACTGATGTTGAGGCATGAAAGGGTCATAGAGAGAACATGAGGCTTGGCACTGTGTGAGGCTAGAGTAGGCCACTGGTGATGGTGCAGCCTCAGTTTCAGTGAAGACCCCAAGATGTAGTAGACATGCCAGGGCTATAGAATGACCACCTAGGACAGTAGAAAGTGTGGTGTTGAGCCATCTTGAGCCTACAAGACAAGCTGCGTGAACTGTGGATGACAGAGCCACAGATGTGGCGTTTCCCAAGCCTTTTGGTGCCCAGAAGAGAATGAGTGAATCCAGACATCAGACATTGAGCTATTTACACTGTTTGATTTTGGTTTTATTTTGATCTGATCAAGGCCTGGTTCTTTCTTCTTAGAGTAAGAAGCATTTAGCTCATTGATCATTTTACAGGAGCCCACAGTTAAGAGATTTTTGGATTACTTTAAAGAGATATGGAGCTTTTAAAGTATTGAAATTTTTAAGGACTGTAGAATTTTTAAAAGTTGAACTATGTTTTATATCGTGATATTAATATTAACATGAAATTATGGGGACAAGAAATGTAAAGGTTATAGTTTAATAGTGGTGTGTTTCTGTGTCAAGTTGACAAGGGGTCAATTGTGCTGGATAGCTTCAGTTGTCAATTTGACACACCTGGGAAGAAGAAACCTCAATGGAGGAATTTCCTTTATTAGACTGGCCTGTTGCCATGTCTTTGAGGCATTATCTTGACTATTGAGTGATGTGGGTGGTGTCACTCCTGGGCATGTAGTCCGGGGTTGTATAAGAAAGCAGGCTGAGCACAGGCCAGTAGAGAAAGTCAGTAAGCAGCATTTTTCTGTGGTCTATACTTTCAGTTCCTGCCTCTGGGTTCCTGTCCTGAGTTCCTAGCCTTGGTTCCCCTTGATAATAGACTGTGAACTGTAAGTCTAATACATGCTTTCCTCCCCGAGTTGGTTTTGGTCAGTGGTTTGTCACAACAATAAAGAAGCAAGCTGATATACTCCTTGACTTCATCTGTCTGCTCCCAAGCCTATTTTGCTTCACACTGTGCTTTAAAGATTGCTTCTTCTTCCTTCCATTGCTCATTATATAGCACCGAATCATACCCTTAAGACAGTGAAATAATGGATCTAAAGAGCTAACAGAGTCTAGGAAGCTGTGTATTCATTACGTATTAGCTTTTGATGATGATGATAATGGTGCTGATGATGACAACTGTCTCTTCTATTAGTCTCTGAAAATAAAGGAATCTTTTTGTACTTAACACAATCTATGTCATGTGGTAGTAAAGCAGTAGATATTTATATTAATTTATGGGTTGTTTGGAGAGGTATTCTGTAGATAAGAAAGTCTTTTACAGAGTTTGCTGAGGTAGGTGTAAATAACTGTAAAATGATTACTTTTTCAATGTATATTTTTTATTGAACTGTGAACATTTCATACAAAATATCTTAATCATCTTTATAATCCCTTCTCCCATCCAGCTGTCCATACCCCCCCACTGGATTTCATGCATTCTGTCACATATGGTAAGACCTATCAAGTCAACTTTGTATACCCAGATGCCCTTCAGTGCAAGCTCATCCACTGGAGTCTACGCAACCTATCTATAGTCACTCCCTTAAGGAAGACCAATTCTCCTCAGCCAGCAGTAATTAGCTGTCAATAGTTCTTCAGCTAAGGTGGGGGCCTGCTGCCCATTTTCCCAGTTCTATGCTAGGTTTTTGTCTAATTAAGTTTTCTTGGGTCTTGTGCAAGTTGACAATTGCTCTAAGTTCATATGGGCTAGTTCCCAGAGGCCTGGAAGACTTTGTTTCCTTATGGTCATGCACCAACCCTGGATCTTACAATATTTCCACCCCCTCTTCCACAATGGTCCCTGAGCCATAGGTGGGTGAGGTTTAATACAGAAGTCCTATCCAGGGACACATACTCTGAAGTTTCTTATTCTCTACTATTTGTTCAGTTGTGGCCTTCTGCATGCAAAAATGATCATTTTAAAGAAGTGTAGCTAAACCACCAACACACTGTATGTACGAACAGGAAGCAAGCTTAGAGAACATCGAGTCCAATGGTTCTTAGAGTATGCCACTCACCAGTAGCATCACCTAAAATTGTTAAAGATGTTGCATGTCGTTTTCGAGGGAATGGTGATATCTTTTGATCCCATATAGGGGACAGACCAGTGAAACTCTTCCATCTGGGACAGACTGGTAAAACTATTTCTCTCAAGGCTAGCTCAGAGAACCAGTGAATTTTGAAGTTACTTACAAGAGCATAGATGAATCAAAGGTCACTCCATCACCAAAAGGCCCACCTGGTATGGACAACAATTCACAAAAGTCATATCATTGAAGCCTGCTGCATGACTTGCAGGTAGCTGGGCCTGCCAAAGAGTCTCTTCTCAGTTATTACCACTGTTTATACAACCTTAAAGAGGAGGGCCTTGTGAATCTTACAAATTTCAGCTTCTTTTCCAAGAGACAGAGATTATTAAAGAGTTCCACAACTGGTCATATACAGAGATTGTCTGTGAATTGCCCAAGCCTAAGTGGCATACCTACAACACAACCTATACCTAAAGATCACAGAACATAGAACAAGGGATAAAGAGAACCCTAATGCATCTTTCAATTCTCATCAATGAAGCTCCCTCATACAACAGAGGGCTAGGAACACAAAAGGTCACAAATGGCCAATATGTAGAGAATAAGAGTCTACAGACTCTTCAGGGACCATTGTGGAAAAGGGCTGGAAGATTGTAAGAGCCAAGGAGGAGGTACATGACCACATGGAAATAGAGTCCTACAGGCTCCTGGGATACCTCATATGAACCTACAGCAATGGTGTCAGCATCCACAAGAACCACGCACACTCAAGCAGACAAAAGTCCAGCACAGAGCTGTGGAAATGGACAACAGGCCCTAATCTTAGGAAGAATTATTGGCAGCTGTTTACTGCTATGTGAGGAAGAGCTGATCTTCTTAATGGGAGAGACCCTAGATAGGCTGACTAGACTGCGCAGTAGATGAACTTGCATTGAGGGACATCTGGGGACACTACCTTGACAGGATAGGCCTTAACAAAAATGATAGAATGTATGAAATCTAGTTGATTAAGGTATTCTATATGAAATACACAAAATTTCAATTAAAAAATTTAAAAATAAAGTCATTCATAACCAAGTTTAGTTATATTAAGCATTTTGCTTCAGCCAGCATTCAGGCTGGAAAGGGAGAAATTCTTAGTAGTGGAATGTGGCAATTTGTACAGATGTCCTTTAGTTAGAGTGGGATATAGTCTGGTAAGCCCACTGTACATTGAAAATGTCATAAATCAGAAAAAAGTCAGTACACCTATCTTACTGACCACAATAACTTCGCAGCACAATACATCACAGAGCACCAGTGCATAGCTTTGTGATTATGTGGTTGACTAGGCATTAGGGCTGACCAGCATCCCAAGAGATGTCTCTAGCTAGGGAAAGGGTCCAAGTCTAAATTTTCAAATATAGTTTCAGCTGAATGTTTATCTCTTTCACACCATCATAAAGCTGAAAGTCATGAGTCAAACCATTATAATTTGGGGGCCTTCTGTATCCTCACTAACTCCTTTAATCTCTCTAGGTACCTGTTGCAGTGCTGCCAAAGTCTAATGAGACAAATACAATCTGTCAACATCCTCAGCTTCAGCATCTTAGGGATCTGCCTCCACGTGAGAGTCAAGCACATGGGCTCAGAGTCAGTGATGGAGCAGGTGTGGGTACCAGTGCATGGCCATTTCTACCAATGTGAGGCTCCTCCAGCTGTGTGTCTTTCCTTCACACTCCTGGGCTGGTGACTTCTCAGATCTGCCAACAGTCTCAGGCTGGTTCTTCCTTTCCCCTTTCCTCTTAGTGTCACACACTGTTACAGAGCCAAGATTTGTGAGCAACTGTGGATCCCAGACCGGGCTGACTCACTCTAGAAAAGTCATATAACAAGACATAAAGCTTAGTATATTAAGCATGGAGATTACAGGATCAATGTGTTGTGTTGTCACAGCTAAATTATCCCATGCTTACTGAAGCACTATGTTCTATAAAATAGTTTCATCAAAACCTAAAGAACTTTCATGTTAACTCTTTACTTTTTGGTATTCTTCTTGTTTTCAATTTTATTTATCTTTTACTTAGTGTGTGTGCATGTATGGTGTGTGTGTGTGTGTGTGTGTGTGTGTGTGTGTGTATGTGTGGTATAAATGTAGAGGCTGGAGGCTGATACTGGGTATCTTTCTTGATTGTTTTCTATTTTATTTACTGAGGGCAGTGTCTCACTGAATCTGGAGGTCACAGATTTACCTAATCTGGTTAGCCAGTTTGCCCTGGGGATCCTCTGTCACCACCACCTCTGGAGTCCTGGGATTATAGGTGTTTATATGCATTTTCAGGTACTGTTGGTGTTTATAGGTATTACAGGCTATGCCTACCTGGCTTTTTATGTGAGCTCTGAGTATCTGAACTCTAGTCCTCACACCCACCCAGCAAATGCTTTATCCACTGCATCATCTCCCTGGTCCTCTGGTAGTCTTCTTGGTTGTATTTGGAAGAAAAAAAATGATCACCACAAACATGAAGCTATATTTCAAAGAAGAAAATAGATCCTTGTTTAGAAATAAAATATTCAAGTTTAACACAGGCAAATATCAGCCATTTGAAGAAAGGTTTGTTTGAAAAATCTCACTTAGAAAAATAAAAACTAGAATTTTACTTTAGAGACCACATGGACAAGACCTGTACAAGATCAAGCCAGTCAAAACCCCAGCAAGGATGCTGGAGGGGCTCATGATGTGCTGGCATTAACTGAGCAGCAATTGACAACATGGCTGCTTGGGGAGGGAGAACCAGTGTTCTTCAGGGGTGTGGTCCCTGAAAGGTTACCCATGCTGCAATAGATGGTCCTACACCCACGCACATACAGGCAACGCTAAGTGGACTCAGTGGGTTTAAAAACAGAGCACATGAAGTTGGGGGAGGGAAAAGTAGTGGGAGGGGATAGGGGAGGAACTAGAGGGAAGGAAATGGGAAGTCAAGTTGATCAAAACACTATATTCATATATGAAATCAAGCAATAAAAAAATTTTAGAGTATAAGTTACATACAGCCATAGCCCTCCATAAACCATATAATTGAAATTCATAACAGAAGGTAGTTTGCCAGGTATCAGCTTGTTCTAGGGTGAAACGGTATCATTTGATTTCCTTATTTGGGCATTGCACTAACATTTGAACAGGACATTTCTTCAGTGTTGCTACTTGCTAAGTTTTATACCCATACTGGGGGATAATTTGGTATACAGCTATAGTGAAAACTAGCTTGTGTTGACCCTTTTAACATCAGTCTGCTGGTTAACTGGTGAGTCCATTCTTCCAGTTCTTAGAACCACAGCCAACCTGCATGAGAGACTGGCAAATGGTCAGTCAGCCAGAACAGGAAACAGTGAAAAGGTCCAAACCGAAGCAGATGTGAGTTCAGATTGCACAGCCTGGAAAACACTGGAAATTTCGTTGTGCTCAGGCAAATGGCAAGAAGTAGATTTGGTCCAAGTGCTGCCTTTCCAGGGATAGGAGTTTAAGCAGACATACACCACAGGGAGCCAATATCCCAAATTTGGAAACATAGACAGGAATTCTTCTTTATCTCTTCATTTGGAGATAAAATCAAATGTGTGAAACCTAAACTTCTCAGCGATGTGATTGGCAAAGCTTTTCCTATGGGTTTTTCCTTTTAACTGGCACTCATTACTTAACATTGCAGCCAGGGACACTTGGTCTGTCACATGTGTGTGTTGTCCTAAGTTAAGGAAAGGACTGATGACTGTAGCAGTCTTATGGGGAAAACCCAAGGGCCTTGAAAGCAGGCAGCACTCCACAAGGATTCACTCCACAAGGATTCAACCTAAACATCAAAGTATCAAAATGACAGAGCAGGACGATTTTAAGTCTATCATTTTTAGATTGCAAATTAATCAATCTATATCTCATCTAGTTCCCTTGCTTCTAGTTTCTAACATTGAATATGAAATGTGTGACAGCTCATCTGGATTCAGATCTTCCATAATCATGTATCTTAGGACACAATCATGCTAGCATCCTGCTCCTTCATCCCTTTCCCTCCCTCACCTCCTATTGTCACTTCCTTTCTTGCTATAGAGATTATTAGTCTTTATAGGTTAACCTATAAAGTTGAAACAAATGACAGATTTTGCTATTTTTGAGACAAAGCAAGACCAAAAATTAAACAAAAAGAAAGGCTAATGATTTGTTGTGTTTTCCTTTGTGTCAGGGTACTACTGACACTCAGTCTTGGAATCTGAGTCTAATCACAGCTCTTCTACTAGCTAGCTCTCTGGGCAACTGAACTTTGAGATAGAGTCAACTGCAATTTATCTTGCACTTTCCAGGTACTTCTACATACACTGCTTCATTTCATTGCTACCAAAGGTCAAAGAGACAGAAATAATAGCATACCCTGACTTCCTGGGACCACCCCAGGGCCCACTCCCCATGGCCACATCCTGTTGACACTTCCTTTCACTTGCAGAAGTGTCTTACTTTGGAAGACCAATGACAATTATTCTTCACAGTGAAGCTATCACAGTAATCTCTTGTTTATAGGCCTTCCTAGATCTTTGTTTTCTCACCAATCAAAATGAGATGTTTATTTGGATAGGGTACAGTGCCTCATGCTGTAATTCCAACACTCAGGAGGCTAAGGCAGGAAGATCATCACAAGTTCCAGACTAGCCTGGGCTACATAGAGACACTGCCTCAAGAGAGAGAAAGGGGAGGGAGAGGTAGAGAAAGAAGAGAGAAAATGGGAAGAAAGGGAGGGAGAAAGAGAAACAGAAAGAGAGAGGGAGAAATGATGCTTGGGTAAATAACATTAAAAATTCTCCTAGTTCTAATATCCATAATTTCTTATACACTTACAGATTATTTACATTAATATTTTCTGAGTACTCTCTCTTTCAAGACGAGGACTATAGCACGGCAATCTATCAACATTGAAAATGAGACTAAGAACTCACCCCTTTAGTATAAGAAATAAGATTTCTATGGCAAAAGGGATGGTGAAAAGAATGGCTAGTGGGTTTACAGATATTCATGATGCAAACCTGTCTACTCAGGCATTAAGAGTCTATAAAAGATAAACAGAACAGGGAAAGTATACAAGGACCATGGCAATATGTACATGAAATCAATTCTTGGTATCTGTTTAGGAATAATCTAAGTTACAATACATCTGACTTTGAATCATCGAAACCATGAAGAATTATGAACACTTTCCATTGTAGATTGTCCCTTTTGTGTTGTTTTTCTCTTTATACACACATAAGTGTTTGCAAATGCTATATCTAGAATATGGTTTTCACTTCCCACAAGATACCTCCCGGGAGGCATGTTGCGATAGAAAGAGTGTGGGCTTCGGAGTAAACTGGCTCAGTATTAATCCTTGCTCTGCCAGTTATTAAAAATGTGTGCCGCTTTTTCTTTCTTTGGACCCAGTTTCCTCATTCATAAAGAGAACAGCAATGAGAATTTAGAGGAAAATTCTGAAAATCCAGTGAGGTAGTACTGGCACATGGCAGATTTTGAGCAAGCATGAATTCCTTCCTTTTCTGCATTCTGTTCCTAAAGAAGGTAGCTATGAAGGGCTGGGGCGGTTGCTCCCTCGTACAATGCTTGTCCTGCATGCTTGAGGCCCTAGGTTCAGTGCCCAGTACACATGCACACACACACACACACACACACACACACACACGCACGCACGCACGCACACACACACACACACACACACATGATTTTAACAAATGTATAGTGCAGCATGAATCTAGTTACTGTAAACTATATCTCTCAAGTTTTGGTGTTTGCACCCAATCCAGTGATTGGAATTTTACCAGATGATGTAGTCATGATTGCCAGCCAGTAGTTTCTTGAGTTGGGGCTCTACCATGCATGAATGTTTTTAAGGGAAGAGACTTTGTGTTCTGTCACATTGTCCATAAGTCTGTTACTCCTACAAGGCTGAACGTAATGTTCTCTTTTTAGAGGATGCTTAATAAAGACAATCTGTCATCAGTTTTAAAGTCCAAACATCCCCCATGAAACAAGATTTACATGTTTTTCATGCTCAAAGGAATCTGGGGTCCAATCTTACCTGTAATGCTGATTCTATTCTGGATTCTACATCTTAAGTGCCATCTGTATAGACCTGAAATGATCAGAGAGGAAACTGCTGAGCAGCCATACAGCCAGGGAGAATGTTTGGCAGTGTTGGATAAATGCCACTGATGTAAGTGCTTTTTAAGAAAATCTTGGAAATGAACATCTTTGGCCTAAAATGAGGAGAATAATCTTTCCCTTTGGAAACACAATACAGATAAAACAGGAATCTGAGAGAGACAGAGATAGACGGCAAAATGCAGAAGCACTTAGGGAAAACAAACCATTGGCACAATTAAATATAATTGGTAGAAGACACTTCGAACATCATGCCCTTGAGGGAAAATAAGTGTGGGGGTTTATCTCTGGGTCCTGTATTCTATTCCATTGGTCCATATGTCTGTTTGTATGCCAGTACCATGCAGTGCCTGTTACTATGGCTCTGTAGTATAATTTGGTATTGTGATACCTCCAGCTCTGCACTGGAGTGTAGGCAGCGTAGGCTATTTGGGGGTCTTTCATATTGCCATATGATTTTTTGGCTTTTTTTCTAGTTCTTTAAGAAATGCCTATTATTTTATTAATAACTATCGAGTATTGACTATGTGATGGGCACTGAGTTTGGTACTGATGATAACTTTTCTGTGACATAAAAAATGTTCATTACAAAATTTATGAAAAATTATATATTTTATTCTATTATCAATTAGGTCCCACTCAACCTATTTTATTATTTTACTTTTCTAAACCCCCATTTAAGTGGGAAAACTATTAGAGATTCTCACATAATAGTCACCATTTCAGTGTAAATTTTGGTGCCTGTTGTGTGAAATTTTCCTGCAGAGACATGAACAAACCATCTACATCAGTGACATCAGTGACAGGAAGAAATGCTTCCACACCAGTGTGGCCTGTGAACCATGAGTTTATTTAATTAAGGTTATATATAGGAGGATGGGCACCCTAGGGATGACTATATTTCAGAAGAAAAGTATCTTTGCTAATAGCTGTTAACTTCCTATATGTTCTCAGGATAGGTGGGGCCTTATCAGCCCCTCCACCTTAGCTAGCAACCATTAATTGCCTATAAATTCCCAGGGAGGGGCAGAGCCTCATATGTTATTGCCCCAATCCTTGATACAACATTAATGGGTCCACTTTTGCAGCTCTCCCTCAGGTCATCACAGCTGCTGACAGTTCAAGAGGGCAATGGTCATTCATGGCATGCCTGGAGGAGAGTGGTCCATGGTAATATCAAAGTGGGGACCCTTCATAAATAGCACCTCTTGCAATCTAAGGCTTTTAGTGTAATGAGAACAACGGAGAGTAAATAGAAAGTGGGTAAGAGATGCAAAATAATATTCTGTCATGAAAGACAGCAAGAACTGAGGACATTTAGCTAATGTGTCTTGGCCACTTTGCAAGACAGTGAGTTCAGGACAGTGTAAGAATACTGCATGGAAGGAACAGGAGAGGTCTAAAGCTCAAATTCCAGTGGCGCTTACAGATCCATCCCAATTCTGAGAGGTAGAGTTTCCACACAAATGGAGTGAAGATAAGGAGTAAAGCAAATTCAACTTCCCTAGAGTCACAGAAGATGGAAAGGTGGAATGTTTAAAAAAGCAAATCCATGGAACTGTACCAGGATCTTCAAGAGAAGACAAAAATCACACAGGAGGGGGTGGAGAGATAGGTCAGTGGCTAAGAGTACCAGCTGCTTTTGTGGAGGGTCTGGGTTTAGTTCTCAGCACCCACATGTTGGCTAAGACCCTCAATTCCAGTTCCAAGGGATCCAACACTTTTTGCCTCCATGGGCATTGAAGACATGAGTGCACTTACTTATATGTAGGCAAAATACTCATACACATAAAATAAAGAAAGAAATTTAAATCACACAGAAATGAGAAGGCTAAAGTCCTGAGTGTCCAAGGCCAATCATTGGGCCTGGAAAGCCCAGGTGCTGACATTGTTTGTAAAACAAAGGTAATTGAATATGAAGCATGATACATACACAGTGGTCCAAATAATATGAAACCTGAACATTAATATTTCTGTCAAGGATGTTGTGCCATATGTGTCAGTTGGGGTGACTGGGCTATTACTAAAATGAGGTAAGAATCTTCTTGAAATATCAACAGAAGCATTATGGCTGATAACAGTCCCACCTAAAATAGGTCACATAGATGCCATACCATCAACACAGTAGGGAGATGAGCATTCAGAACTGTAGGCTGGAGTGTTTTACTGTGCATTGACATTTTTCCCTCCTGGGTATTCTTTGATTTTGTTTGGCTTGGTGATGAGTATTGAAATCAAGGTCTCAATCATACTTGCTACCCCCGAGGTATACTCTCAGCCTCCCCTTTAGAGTTTTTGATGCACTATCAAGTCAATTAATTTTCTTCAACACCAAGTACAATACTAAATTTCTGCCTTCTGAAGAGAAGTGGAGTATGCCTGGGTTGCCTTCTACTCATCATGGCCTCCAGGATATGAAACAAATCACTAAATGAAAGGTGAGTGAGCCTGCCTATGAGGCCTGGAGTAGGAATGGAGGTGCTGCTACTGTCTTATGGACACAGTCTTGATTAGGTTATTTTGCCTTTTGGCTGGATCAATGTAGTACAAGTTTTGTGTTCTAAGTTTTTATAAACTGCTTAAAGAAGCAAAGCATCTTTCCCATTTTCTAGTGATCTAATCAGCATTGAGAACTTTCTATAGCTTGAGGATGTAGCTTCATGGCAGAGCACATGCTTAATATGCAAGAGGCCATGGGTTCAAGTCTCAATATACACACAAAAGAAAATAATTTACTGGACTGTTTCACCATATGCAGGGCTAATAGCAAACAAAGAGTTAAATTTCTCACTTTGAAGCTTCCTATGTATGTAGATTTGGGGCAATCTGAAGCTAGGAGAATAATCTTTAAACAGCATCCCTTTTTATTCCAAGAATCAACTACTTGAAATAGAAAAAGATTTTTTTTCACTTTCTGACTTTAAATGCAGAAGTTCCAAGGCCTAGAAGATTGAAAACATAGTACAGCAAGAACAGATGGGGAGTGTAAGGAGAGCCGGAAGCTCTAAGAAGCTATAAAGGCTAAAAATCACAGGTATTGTGATCAAAATGAAGACCTTCTTGGGTGGGCTCACCCATAGAATGGACGATATGGTCAAGGAAAGAATCAGAGAGCTTCAGCCGAAATGGGGCATTTATATCAATGGCCCCCAACCCTTCAAGGCCCAGAGAACATTGAGGAAGAGGGGGTGGAAAGAATGTAAAAGCTAGAGAATGAGAAGTTTTGGAAAATCATATCTTTTGGACATGCTAAGGCTCATGAACTCACAATAGCTGTGGTTACCTGTGCAAGGCCTGCACAAGATCAAACCAACCAACATTCCATCATGGAGTGAGGAGGAAGGGCTCATGAGGCTCCATGCCCAGCTGAGGAGGTATTTCCAGTTGATGAATGTTGAAGAAAGGGGTGTTATTTTTCTTCATGGCCACTGGTAAATTGCCAGTGCTCCAGTGGATGGCTCAACATTCATGCACACATGAGTAGTATCAGTTGGACTCAGTGGGATATTTTTTTTTTTTTTAACATACCATCATGGAGTGAGGAGGAAGGGCTCATGAGGCTCCATGCCCAGCTGAGGAGGTATTTCCAGTTGATGAATGTTGAAGAAAGGGGTGTTATTTTTCTTCATGGCCACTGGTAAATTGCCAGTGCTCCAGTGGATGGCTCAACATTCATGCACACATGAGTAGTATCAGTTGGACTCAGTGGGATATTTTTTTTTTTTTTTAGCTTTAAGCTAGAACTCGTTTATTATTAAGGCTGAACAATATTTAAAGGCAACAACCACAAGCATAGCATAGGTGGGGAGGCCACCATCCAATCAGCTCAGAGGTCAAGTATTAGCACGCAGGCCCTTCTCATAGCATAACTCAGTGTTCACGAGGTGATCATGCGTCCTTCACTGGCTAAGCTTTAATCAGTACTACTTTCTCTTTTTGTTGCGTGCCAAGCTGGCCAGCTGGCTCTGCCTTCACCTAAGCTGCTCAGCGCCATCTTGTTACCATGTCTCCACACTTTATATCTCTACTGAACAGTTTTATCTAGCCCAGTGAACTGGGCATCATATATTGCTTTTCTCATACCAAGTTCTCTCAGTAATGCCTGTCCCTCCTTTATAGTCCTCCAGCCTCTGTTAATTATGGGAGTTTCCCTTGGTGAGGACCATGTATCTTTAATGCCTTTCACCAGCCATCCCATTAGGGACTGCTCCCCCCCAACCTTAACTGGCCCAGGTTGAATAGCCTATGTCACA